GCTATAACCGTCTCTTCTAGCACATTTGGCACCTAAGCTTTGGTCTGAATGAATCTTTTTAGAAATTCAGACAAGGACTCATCGTCTCGCTGAATGCAGTTCAGCAAATCTCTTATTGTTTTTGCCCCCGTGTGATATTCTTGGAAGGTGGACAAAAGTTTCGCTCTGACCTGACCCCATGACTTGATGGACAGAGGTTTGAGCGAAGTATACCAGTCATGGGCGATGTCTTCGACTGCCATGATGAGTGACTTCGTGAGAACCTGGGTGTCTCCCCAACCTGAGGTTATCGCGGTTTCATAACTCGCGAGGAACTTTCTTGGGTTTGTCTTTCCGTCGAAAATCAGGATGCGAGGCTTGTAGCCAGCTGGCCATGGATATAGCTGAAGTTCTTTCGATAGGGTTGAGGTAGGGTCACATGAGCCTTCATCTTCTTATGCAAAGTTGCCACCTAGTATTTCTACGTTTCCACCAGCGCGAAAAAGCGGCTGCGACTCTCACTCCCTGTAATCCTTGAATTTCTCTTACCAGTCTGTCCCTCTTTATTTTGGCTTCTCTAAGTTCCCTCTGAATTTGCTCGGATCTGTTGTGGGCAGCGGCTTGCCTGAGCAACTGCTCCTTCTCGTTCTGGAGCCTGAGGATGTCCTGCTGGTACTGATTCAGCATCATTAGGTTTCTTGCTTGTTCGGTGATGTCGTCGTCTTCGTCTTCTTCTGGTACTTCATTTTTGTCTTGATCGAGCTGGACTTCCTGAACCACTCCTTTGGGCGTCTCCTGTCGACCAAGAGGGGGCACCATGTTGTCTTCGACCGCCTAGGAAGCTAGCGGTCCCATTGCTACCACGCCATCTCGCGCAACAATCTCTAGAGCTGCGATAGCTGCCACCTTGGATGCTTCCACCCTATCCACCAGCTACTTCAGTCCCTTGTTCTTTGGTGCCATGATAAGATCGAGCAACAACCACAGTGGGCGACAATGTTGTTCAAGGCCCAAGCCTTCGAACACCTATTCACCGCGCGAATAGACTTTGAAGTGGATCCAGACGAGATGAAAAGCACAAGCGAAACAAGAGGGGTGATTTTATTGATATTGTATCCTCTGCTTTTACAATCCCAGATGGAGGCTATTTATATACGCTCGTAGGCTTTTTGTGGGACAAGAAAGCCCCTACAACTACTGCATATTCGAGGAATATTCTCTGCCGCCATGGGCTTGTTCGCCATTTGGAGTCATCACCTGCCTCGGATGATGCCGGCCAGAGGAGGACCGATCGGCTCTGCCTCTTGTCACCGCTGCAGCCGACCGAGTGGCCCCCGGTAGGACAAGGCTTTTGGTCAAACGCAGGTGGTTGACCCTCCTATGGTGAAACCTACAAAAACAACTGAACAAATCGTTAACAGCTATTCACCCAAGCGAATAGCTCAATCGACTCCAAACTCACGGCCGTTCAAACCCAAGCCCAGCTGCTCCTTTCGCCATAGCGAAAATAGCTATGTCAGGCGGACCCTTATCGCTGGACCCGCCATTTCGCCCTGATGAAATGGGAAACCAGGCACGATCACCATGAAATCGAGCGACAGCTGCTGCCTTCATTTCGCCTGGACGAATGAGGACCCTGTGGCTCAAGCTCTCTTGCCTCACGCCGCATCGTACTCGCCATTTCGCTAGAGTAAAATGTTAGGTGTGTCGACGGGTCAAGACCGTTCATTCCCTTGTTGTCCGTCGTCTCGCATGTGCGAGATGCCATTTGCTCTAGCGAGGCATAGTCGGGGCGGCGGATGAGCTCCATGGGGTGCCAGAGGCGGGGGCATGCCCCCAACATGTTCTACTGTGGAGCTAGACACTCAAACCCTATAATTAACCCTAAGTTATCCTAACAGTTATTGGCTCTTATGACGGCTATATATGGTGGCGGAACCCTAGATGTCTATTGTCTTCTCATATATGACTTTCCACACCTCACACATGTGTTTTGTACCATCATGACACATCTTCTCTATGTGGTGGTTCTTTGTTAGGAGTCAGAATTGGTGGTGAGGAATTGGGCTAAATTGTGGTATAGAGAGCTGGTTTGGGTGGCACGACTATGGCATTGGCCGACGAACATGCTTTGGGATTTTGCTTGTCTTTGTGTTCTTTGAGGCCAGGATTAGTTCTAGGAGCAATGCGTATAGACAATTTTTATCCCCATGAAACTTATTTATTTCATCGCATAAAACTTTTATCATCTATCTTACTCTATACTATGCAATGTCGGCTTATTTAGTGCCAATGAAACTGTTATGAAATCCCCACTGAGATTTACTTTATTAGGATGCCCACTAGCTAGTCAGCCATAGGGAGTTTTGAAAACCTCTAGTTTGGTATATATGCTAATGAATACATCAATTTGCTAAACCACCACGTTACTAGCAAGTTTGGGTGTTATAACAACGATAGATATGCACTTAAGTTTTCTTCGGACTTCTGGTGCACATTAATTGATAACAGGGAGCTAGCTAGCTCTTGATCCCTAAATATCTGTAAGATATATGATAGATCACAGTGTAGCTTGCAGATATACTTGCTAGCATATTGTACATTGTGTATGCTTATATTTAGATCTAGAGAATGGAGAAATAAAGTATCTGGATCCATGCACACCGCATGTCTTGACAGGTGGTCCTCATGCATGCCAGCACTAGAAATAGGTCAGCCATGACATAACCACAGCGTAGAATGCAATGCACATCGATTGATCGAGCCGCGCTCTTGTTTTGCTTCAAACTGTGGGCGCAATGATACAAACTATTAATGCCTTGCTAATCCGCTTGGCTGATGCATGTTAGGAAAGGATCAATGAAGTGCATTTGTTAGTACACTAGTGGGAGGCTAGTCACAGTGAAGGTTTTTATATATTCTTATTAAATAATGGGGTGCCCCATAGGTAGTAAGTCTAATGGCATGACACTAAAACTGTGAATAGAGAGGACACGTTTTATCTAGATGAAACGGGATCTACACTCTTTTTAAAACTGAATACATGGTGCGCTGGAACTAATCAATACTCCTACAGGAGTACCCTGTTTCTCTAATATAATAAGGAAAGTCTCAGGTTAGATTCGCCGGCACACACGTGTTGCCCATGAACTGTCCTGATTCTCTTCGCGAAACCTGAGGTTAGTGACCAGCACAGCACAGGAGGTGGTTCACACTATGCCACCGTGAAACCTCATGCTTCTCCATAACTAAGAATGCATGTACTAATACGAATTCAGGACCTGCATGCCAATGAAATTTCAAATTTGAAGGAATTTTACTGTAAACAATATATATAATCAAGACTAAAAATGGATCATGCTTCAAATGAGCCATAGATTGAATGTGTTCCTTGAAGTAGATGCATGTAAGTCTCGTCTTCATGGTGTGTTCTACACACCTAGTAGTAGATTTTTAATAAGAAGGAAGAAGTCGAAAATTGCCATCCAACTATTGTCCGAGTTCGTTTTTGGCCAAGTAACTCTAAAACTAGAAATCTTTAACCACCAAACATAAGTACCAGACGAATTCGGCCATCTATCTAGTTTTAAAGGCGGCTTCATATTTTCTAAAAATAATAAATTAAAAACTACTTTATTTTTTTTAAATATTGACAACTAATTCATTTCTAACCACAAAAATATTTTTGAGTATGGATTCTCTTGGTTGATCTCTAGGTTTAATACAACACAAAATGGTGTTTTAACTTTTAAATGAATAATGGGCATGATTACGAGTATTAAAACACTACGAATAACTACAAATAAGATCCAAATAACTCTACATCTAACATCTATATACACATTATATCTTTAGAAAAAGCTTGGTGCTGGTTTCATATTTTTTATTTAAAACCAAATAAATTATGGATTTAAAAACATAAATCTCATTTTGTATTTTAAAAATTACAAAACCTCCTTTGAAACCAGCTGGCTGGCGAAACTTGCCCGATGTTAATTGTTCAGTGGTCCAAGATTTCTGGTTTTATAGTTGCCGCCGGAATCAAACTTGAACAATAGTTGGGTGGTAAAAAATGGACTTGTCTAATTTCTTGGACACTAGTTACAATCCAACTTGCAGTTATTGAGCGAAGAAAAGTATAACAAGAGGGCCTTGTTGAAGGATTGGAAAGAATATAAGCTTTTGACCAGCACGTCCCCACATGCACATGCTATGGTATCAATAATAATTAAGTTGGTAGCTAGGGAAGTCAATTTGGAAGAGGACAAAATCTAACCAATATACTGTTGCAGTGCACTACTAAAACAGCAATGTCATGCTCGAAATACTCACAAAATTTCTTATATACATAAGAGATTTTCTGGTGTATGATACATGGAACGCAGCGGTTGAAATGTACAATGGAGCATGCATTATCGGGGCTAAGTACCCTAGCTCAAGTTGTTGAAGAAAAGCAAACATGTAAGAAGCATCATATATAAGAAACCTACACCAGTCTCCTCTGCTCTCCTCTCATTGCCGTATTAGCACTTAGCAGGACAGTACCATCGATTTTCAGGTATGTATGGAGCAGAGTCAGAGTCAGCCCAAAATTCCTAGTTCTCACTTAATTTTTCCTTTTTGTTCCTTGAGATTGCTCCTTCGTTATTTGCTAAATTTTGTTAAGATTTCTCTGCATCAAATTAATAACCAGAATTATATTAGCTCAAGCGCTGTCTAATGGTTTTGGTGTAGTGTTTGTATATTACACCTGACGACTCTAGCGAGATGGATTCCTCGGCTAATAAGCAATGGCTGGCAGAACTGGTAAGATCCCACACGATCAAATCTAGAAAGGCAGCCATCTGTACTGTGTGTGCAGTTCATAGAAATTCCAGTTTCCAGTTTAGTTGACATATATCCATATAAACTTGTACTAGCTATCTGAAGCATAATAAATAAAATGTGTTGCGCTAAATAATTGTGTGTAGGAGAAGGATGATGATGACCTTGGGGAGCTGGAGTTGATTGATCCACTGAGCATGCGGCAGCTCGCCGAATCCCTGGCCAACGAGCTGTGGAGCCAGCAGCCGCCTCCACAAGAGCAGCGGCCAACGACGGGGACGGGCTTCTCATTCGTTGGGGGCTCTGCGGCGACGGGTGTCGGTGGCAACAACAACAACAACTTGATGTCCTTCACCGATGACGGCTCCTCCTCGTCACTGCCGACGCAGCTGACGGAGAAGAAAGCAGGCAGCGGCCGGAGAGCGAGCTCGAGCGTCAAGGAGCACGTCGTCGCAGAGAGGAAGCGGCGGGAGAAGATGAGCCACCAGTTCGCCACGTTGGCGTCCATCGTCCCGGACATCACCAAGGTACGTCGTCAGTACGTGAGCTATGTCTATATGCCCCAAGAGAGACACACCAATGCATACAAGACGAGTTGACTATAGCTAATAAAGCCGTTAGCGATTCTCAGACCGACAAGGTGTCCGTCTTGGACAGCACCATCGAGTACGTGCACCACCTCAAGGACAGGCTCAAGACGCTGCAGAAGGAGCACCACCACTTCGCCGGCAGCAGCAGCGGCAGCACCACGGCGGAGTCGGACGCGCAATGCTGCACTACTGGGACTGGCTCCAAGGATGAAGCTGTTAACAAGTCTGATGATGAGAGCCCAAAGATCGAGGTGGACTTGCGAGGGAAAACGATTTTGCTGAGGGTGCTGTGCCGGGAGAAGAAGGGAGTGCTTATCATGGTGCTCACGGAGCTGGAAAACCACGGCCTCTCCATCATCAACACCAACGTCGTGCCCTTCGCCGAGTCATCACTCAACATCACCATCATGGCACAGGTAAAACACACGTCCCTGGCTCTAGAGAAAAAATCTGGCTCTAGACATAATTATACTCTGGTTTTCTCAAAACGTTCGGTTGTCGTTTATCTGCAGTTGCACATTTTGACAAAACCAGAGTCTAATTACGAGATTAGATGCCTAATCCTCTCCACTAATCCCTCAAATAGGCTAAACGTTACCATGGATTTCCAACAAAACAAAGGGAAACAACGAGGAAAAAAAAGGAAATCTATGCAAAACAAATAGAGGAGACGATTTCTAACCGGTTTTTCGGAGAGAAACGACGATGGTCCAGCGCTCCCTAGCTCCTCTCGCTCCTCTCTCCTCCTTTCTCTTTTTCTTTCTTGTGTGCATGCAGAGAGGGGTGGCGCCACTTGGATGAGGCCATAATGGCAAAGCAAAGTTCCCCTCTATGAAGTCTTCAATAGTCATAGGTCCATAATTTGTGCTCCGAACAACACATATGAATAGCAAAATAGAATGCATTCGACGAGCCCTATGCGTCCATGGCATCCGATTGTCGATTCAAGTGATGGATAAAAAATATTATTTGCCACTCAATAAAACTCCCATTTAATCTTTTGCCATATGTGTAGTCCCTTACAAAAAGCATATTTATTCCTTGGGTACTCTGGGTGACCTCCCAGTTTTTCTAAATTCACTTAGAAATAGATATGATTTTTAGGCTTGAATGTTATTATCCTCTTGAGGTTAGCATTGTTGGCCCTCCTAGATCATACTTTAAGCTCCACCATTGATCATGAGCGGCATGTGGCTAGCTTAAATGACCGTCTATATGATCATAAGTTATTATTAAGAGTGCAGTCTAGGACAAAAAATATATAAAGAGAGTTTTGAAGGAAATATAGCATATGCACACAAGACATGTGCAAGCCACCCTAATTTAATCTAAGGTTTTAACTAAACTCAAATTGAAGTCATATAGAGTGACATGCAAAAGGAGAAAAATCAATATGGATGAAAAAATATATAGAGCAATAATTGATAAACTCAGCACAACTTAACAGCGAATATAGATTATCTATATGGTATTGCCTAAAAAAATGAACAAAAAGAGAGTAACAAAAATAAGAAATTTTAATTACTTTTAGTTACAGATTGAACACAAATTTATACTCTTTATAAGATTCTAGTCCATGCAGAAGTATAGATTGATGGACTAGGATTAGCTAATTATGATACTCTAAGTAGCTTTAGCCTTGCATAGAAGGTATGCAAATTTCATATGACATTAATATGGTCGGTCAATTAAAGATTTATTGTTTTCTAATTTTTTTTCTCACCACATGCAGATTGAAGACGAAACTTCCAGAACAGGTGAACTTGTGAACAGTCTTACTTCAGCTCTAAATAAACTAGGTTGAAATTCTTGTGGAAAAAAATTACATTCATATCATATTGTATGTACAAATTAATGGAAGCGCCAGCAACTAGTTGATTAGTGAATAAAATATATTTGTTTAACGGAATTAATATATAGCTAGCTTTTGCTTTGTAAAATAAATGGAGATCCAACAGTTTGCAGCTTTGTGCATGCTCCTTCTCTTGGTAGTACTATCTCCAGAGATCAGTTTATAAAGCGTCATTTGCCATGACACGGTGATATCTCGAGATACATTTTGATCATTTATTTATTTTAATTATATTATTTATGGCTATAAACTTATGATTATATTGAATCATAACTATATCTAATTTGTATTATAATAGTTAAAAATTATTGACCAAATTATTGGTCAAAGATCATAACTTTGAATCTTGGTGTGCATGAATAGTCAGCTATGTTCTACTTAGCCACATCACTGTGGTCACCACTGGAACTCTAGCCAGAGCTAGGATTTTTGTGTTAGGTGTATATTTAGAAAATTATCGTAACACTGCACAATCAACACACAAATATAAATTTGTCTAAAACGTACAGTATGTACTAACATATTTCGAAACGAATATGGATTCAGCAAAAGAGTTTGGTATTCGCAAAAGTTACAACATATATATGTTAAAATATTTATCAAAAAAGGTTTGAACAATTTTACATTCTTATGTTACGAGTAAAGTTACTTCAAATACAAATCCAAATAAAGTTTGACACAAGCTACACAACATTCAAATTTGCAATCGATGACTTGGCAAGTACTGCAAGAGTACATCATAGCTCATCGACATCTTTTTGTTGCATTAGTTCAATAACTAACGGCAAGCTATTGTTGAATTAATGCAACAAAAGATGTTGGACAGGATATTGTGTTGATAAAATCTGATGGATAATTGTTAGGGGTTTGGGATTGGAATTGGGGTTAATAAGCATATATTTGAATGTTGTGTGGCTGACAACTTATAAGGTTACGGATTGAGGTTAGTAGTCCATGGATGGAGTTAAGTAGTGTGGATAACTTTCATATCCGATCTCATTCAAAACTGATTTAATTTTTGAGGATACAAGTAAGTGCTTGAGATACCTAATCGGATATGGATAATCTGAATCCCACTATGTGCAGATGTAGGATAGGATATGGAATTGATAACAATTGATGGATATGGATTATCTGACATTTAAATGTGGATTATTCAAGAGATAAATAATAACTTTTCTTGGCCAAACATAACACAAACATAGTCCAAGTTTAGTTTATACCTAGGCAGGAGCTAGCAATCATCAGGAACTTTCACTGTGTGTGACCAATACTAAGTTAGTGTCCATAAGATGTGGCTGATCTTCTAGTATTCTGATTACTTTAATATGTTGGTTTTTTTTCTAGAACACTCAAAGTAATCAGGGTAATTTAAACTCTATTTTTAATACACAGTATAGATATAGACTCTCACAACACGCATGCACACTCACCCTTATAAAGGCTAACATGCAAACCCTAAATCTACGAGCACTTTTAAACGATTGAGTTGATAGATCTTGAGAGTGACGAGATCACCATAGGCCCCTACCACTAAAGACTAGTCCTAGAATAATTTCAAGAAAATATGAGCACCCATGTCAAGTCGTGGACTTGAACCTGGGTGGGTTGGTTCCACACCACAAAGAACCTAACCAGCTGAGTTACGATTAGTTTGCAACTCCAACTAAGTTGTGATGGGAACATAATATAATAATGCCAAATTAGAGATGGTTTTTTACATACATAACTTTTACCATGTAAACTCCTTTTGATCAGTTCTTTAGCATACTATTTTGCTCATTAAAATAGATTCCAATCCAAATTTACTCCAATTTGGCATCACTTTCAACATTTGAAGATATCCACATTTGTTCTAAATCTGACAAATAATGTGATAAGGATATAGGGTAGGCAATATCCGATCCTATTTGACAAGGTTTGACACCTAATGATCTATGCTAGTTTGTCTAGTGTTGGTTAAACTCTTGTCCTCATGGAGAATGTGTACCTGAGTCTTGTGCATGTATGGGTGGGGTGCAAAGGACTTTGTGAATAAGGAAGATATAAATCAAGAGGCCTACCGATTTATGATTAAATAGAGAGCATCCTAGACTCCTAGTCTTGAATCCAACCATGTTAGAATGACTTGGTTGCAAAAAAGGAAAGAAAAGAACAAAAGAAAGCTGAAAACTATTAGGTTATAGAATTGGGATTAGTAATTTGGGCTGGGATTACCTAGTTTTGCCATACTAGAGGAAGCTTGCTAGTGCCAGGTGGTAGGTTGCTGGTAGGAGCAAGGCGATAATGGTGCTTCTACCACGATGATTTAGGATGGTTGTTAGGTGGTGCCACTAGGTGTGTCATGGGGGCAGCGGCTCCCGCAGAGGTGGAGGCATGAAGAGCATAGATTCGACAAGATAGAAGGGGAAGAAGGAGGGTTGTCCTCATTAGAGTCAGAGGCAATGCTGGCAAAGCAAAGGCTAGCGGCGTGTGGTAGATGAACAAAGATAGGAGAGAGCGAGTGAACCAAAGAGAGTGATGGTGGAGGGAGGTGATAATATTTTCTTTTCTTTTTTCAAATTGGGTTGTCGTGGACCTCTTGAATTCACCCTTATTATATGGAGAAATGGTGAGCCCTCACATTTTAGTAACCTTCTTTTGCAATTTGGCTTGAAAGAGGTGGCCCAACATTCAAATTTTAACTTTGGACTGGTGTGCCTAAGCACACCAATTTAAGAATCATACTCACACATCTACAAAATGATAGATAGCCACCTTCACAACTCATGCTTTGAGATTTGTGAGGGGCTTAATCAAATGGCAATAGCGAACATGTCAATAGCGCTATGGTAGGTCCTTTGGTTGGGAAGCTACCAACCATGGTTGAAATCTTAGATTGCACGAAGAAAGTCTCTCTGTTGCTTTTAGATATACATGTCGCAGGCACATCCTGGGCAGCCAGCTTTCGAGCCTTTTCTCAACCCTGCAGTTCGAGGAAATTTCTTCCTTCTGTGATATACCTTGGGTGAGGTCAATCACCTAGGGGTCGACTTTTCTTAATCAAATGGCAATAAGATTTTTCCTCCTCCCTTCAAGCTCTACATCATGCTTGATTGAATTTTGCCCACTCACTATCTAGATGCTACCGCTGAGCAAATATTCTATTTCCACCGCCATCCCATCACCCCAAGATGAAGAAGGTGACCGACAGGGTAGGGGATCAGAGCATGGTAGGAGGGTGAAGGCAACAATGGTAGACATCATGAGCCAGTCCCATGTTTTGCAATATTTTTATTGCAACAAAGATGAATAGGACACGCCCACTAGTTTTCATGGCCACTGACTCTAGCAAAACATATGTTTGTTGCAACTAAAATGAATCCGATTAGTAGATCTACCTTGAGAAGAAAACCTTTTTTTTGTTCTCATGTTTCTCAAGTCACAAGGAGAGCAATTGGTGTAGTGGTAGGGAAGACCTTGGGCAAAAGTGTTGGTGACCATTATTTCTATCTTCTAGTACCTTTTATTTCTAGAATTTTCTTAGAACAAATTCTCGAAAAATGGTGTTATAAAAGCAACTCCAAGAGCCTCTTTATATCCTTCTGTATTAATAGAATAGATATTTTGATGAATAAAAGCCCTCCAACAACAGGTTCTCTAATTAGATCATCAAATATTGTCATTATTTATTCTTGATTTCTCGTGAGTCAAAGATGGAGAGCAGGACTGGCTCTCCAAAGTGTGGACAAGATGTAGAGAAGCTATTGGAGGGTGGAAAAATATAGAGAGCTATTTTACTCAAATGGCTCTCAAATGAGGATTTAGAGAGTGAGTTTAAGAAAGACTCTTGGAAATGCTCTAAGTTGTGTTTTGATAAGGTTTATAAGAAAGACTCTTGGATATGCTCTAAGTTGTGTTTTGATAAGGTTTATAGAAAGTTTGGTTGATCGAGTTATGAAAAAAATGTTTGGTATATATAGAAATATATGTAGTTCGACAAGTTGTTCTGAATACAAATTTCAGGCCAGTGTTTTAGATGCTGAATAGCAAAAAAACTTATCTGTGTTCATTACTTGTAATGGTTTCAAAAATAGAACGACAAAAATTTCTAATGACAATATTCTTCTCAAAGTTATGGCTGAGAAATCCATATAAAACTTAGTTGAATTAGTTATTTTTATACTCATTTTTTGATCAAGTTGGCAATAAAAACCTTATGTCTGCAAGTTGTTCATAAGTTTTTATAGATAAATTGTTTCTCTAAAGAATTTCTCATGACAACTTTCTCCCAAAACTTGTCTAAAAATATTATCTCCCTATGAAATTGTCCAAAAAGATTATACATAAAGGTGAAATTTGTAAATAAAATGAAAATTGTGAGGCTTTTGAGAATCTCATGTGCATGGCCTTCCTAGTGCATGCTGGGTCAATGACGCGTGATGGTGCTGGCTAACTATAACAAAACCTAAGTTGTATGCTAACTGCATTCCATGAGAGTCAACGGACCGGAGGTTGTATCATATGTTTATAGTTTGGCAAGCTAACTAGCTTAGTTAATATAATACCGCTAGAAGCCACTAATGAAACGTATCTAGCTAACTCAGAAGTTGTAGCTAACAAAACCTACAAGCCACACAATAACACTTTTCAAAATCAAGTTGCTGGCTAAATAGTAGTACCATATGTCCAAGAGGCCTGGAAACATATCTTCGATGTGCAAGGTTGATACTACTTAATATACTTTTGGACATTTAATTTGTCCAAGAGGCATGGAAACATATCCGAGTTGTCTTCATTTTCTTTGTTTTGGACATTTAATTTTTTATATCAAATCTGATGAAGACAAACTTGATAAAAACCGTAGATTAACTAGATCAACCACTTTTTAAATTTGAACCATGTTTACATGTGGAATGAATTGACCCAGAAAATTGGACAAAAGGAGTGAAAATTACATTGTATTATTGTGT